GCGAGGGGGCCGAGACGGCGCTCTTCCGGGCGGGGGGTGGGGGGGGGGGGGTCACGATGGCTGCGTCAAGGCGACACAATCACAGCACTTACGCCAGTCCGAAATACCAAGGCAGATAGGTGGCAATACAATACATGAGATCCCATCTTCCATCTCCACAAGACTGAAGCCAAAAGATAAATGATAGACGTACAATGCTGTATATATATTATACAAGTTCCATAGGAAAAAAAAGATCCAATATTCATACAGTATATCAAATATGTGTAACGTTTTGGCGTCAGCTGGTATTATTGTAAACAGTGAAGAGAGATTCACCGTTGATTGAGACGTGTGTGTTCTGACTGTAAACACGGTCCTTGGTGGTTCTGTAGTGCATTCGTCGACAGCATTAAGACAATAGATATTAGTGACAGTAATCAGGCACAGGTTCAGCACTCACAATGTTCTACAGATCTTCACGATATAAAAACCAACACGGTTCTAAAACCAACACAAGAGAGACTTTTTTTTTTTTTTCAAGCTACAGAGATGCACTGGGCTTTTGACCTGCTTTGACATTCACATGTGGACCACGACCCTCTCCAGCTGCACACGGCACCTCTCACATAGCAGGGCTAGCTTCATCTAACGGGCCCAAACCACAAACGGACAGTTCTTTCATTCTTGTGAGGTATACCAAGCCTCATTTCATGCCCTCGCATTGCTGCTGACTTCTACTCTTGTGATGCAGTGGGAGGATTCTCTTCCAAAGTTTCCTCTTTCTTTTCACCAGACTCCTCTTCCTCCGCAGCAGGAGCCGACGCCTCCTTCTTTTCCTCCTGTTTCAACTCCTGCTTTTCCGCCTCTTCTTTCACCTCAGCTTCTTCTCTCTGCTCAGCCTCCTCATCCTGACTGACTTTTTGTTCTTCTTTGTTTTTCTCCTCTTTTGGCTCTTCGGCATCGGTCTCGGCCTGCAGAGGCTGCTCCTCCTCGTTGTCCTGCTTGAGCGCCGTCTGCTGTTGCAGTTGGATCTCTCCATCTTGTTGCTGCTGAAGAGGGGTCTCCTCCTCCAGCTTCACCTCGTCCGATTGCTTCGCAGAATCTCGCTGCTCGACACCATCGTGGTCGTCCTCCAGCCTCTCGGTTTTGGAGAGGATCTCGTGCAGCGAGGGGGACATGAAGTAAGGCCTCTCAGACGAGCCGTCATTTCTCTCCAAGTCCTCACCTTTTGTGTGTGCGGGGATGCGTATTTTGTGTTTTGCATTGGGTTAATGGAAAAATGAGGGGAAGATTGAAACGTAAAGTAAAGGGAATGTGTGAAAACAAAGAAAAGTAAGACAAAGAGAAGAGGAGTCAGAAACATGGCAGGAAGAAGAAACCAGCATTTCAGCTTGAGACAGTTGTATGAGTGCTTGAAAGCAGGAAGACGAGAGGAGATCTGGCTGAATGTGAAGTTACTCACAGAAGCAGAGGAACAGTGTGTCCACACACATGGCGTACACGCTGAAGAAGCCATGGGCGATGAGGTAGGATCCCACTACCAACGTCTAGGGGAAGAAAATCACACATTTCATCAAGTACTCTGCTGTGGCGTCAAAGCCCACAGGCGAGCTAAAGGGATCAATATAACTGCCTCTCACCAATATTGGCACCCAGTAGTAGTTCAGAGACGGAGCAGCCTCCTCTATCGCTCTGATTCTTCCAGAGAAGAAGAAGAAAGAGAAGATGCCTGTGCAGGACAAAAATGTGTGTGAGTGGATTTCATCTCGAAATCCGGACAGATCTGTCTCCAGAGTAAAGAACAGAGACGTTTGGTCTAAAAATAAAAGCTCTCCTACCAACGATTCCAACAATGAGGAGCTTCCCAAGAAACAGCAGGAAGTCAGTCACTTTATCTAAAACAGCCACCCTGTGTTGAGATGGGCAGAGCAGAGAATAAGAGCGTATCACATTAAACAATGATTAAATGTTGCATCATTAAAATGTAATTAAAATGGTGGATAACAATGTAATGAACTCCCACCTGACAATGTTCCTCATCAGGAGGAAAAAGGCATCTCGGGCTGAGGGACAGAAACTCTTTCCATAGATGGCAATCTGGAGGAAAAACACAACACTTTAAAACCTGAGCGGACCGGACATCTCTCACGCAGCTGTATCCTGTTACACTGACTCACCATGATGTAAGCGTTCCTGTTCAGGAACTTGATGCATTTCTCCAGACACCAGAAGCAGCACTTCATGCAGCTCAGCAGGAACCGAGCACACTTGTTCTGAGCACCTGAAGGATGCAGAATTAGATATTATTGTGACATTTCGCGTTACACATCGAACCAAAATCAGGTTTTAAGACTCACACATTTAACAACAATATCCTAAATGCATATTAAAGGGATAGTTCACCCCAAAATCAAACTTTTTTTGGTGTCAGTTGCCGAGAACAAGCTCACGACTTCTGGAGAGAGACATTCTTCAAACATATTTTTGGTACTTTGAGCATCACACCAGAGCGCCATACAGTCCCAGTATATTGGAGAGAGGGTGCACATCTCTACAACTAATATCTCCAACACTCGGCAACTCACATCAAAACAATCTGATTGATCGATAGCATCACAGGTAAGAGGAAACATATATATATCTTTGATTTTGGGGTGAACTGTCCCTTTAACACAGTCGGTGATACATATGTCATAATGGTGACGATACACAGTCAAGTGATTTAGTAATTTGTCTTGTTCAGAAGTTAAATCTGACCTTTCAACTTGTGATCCAGGTACTCCAGAAGGACCCTGATGACCTGGACCAAGGACAGGATCAGAGAGCCAAAAGCCAGGGAGCCTGTGTGGTATCTGGACACCAGGAGGAGACAGATCCAATCGTGAGCTTAAAGAAACTCTGCTTTTATACATATATATAAAAACAGATCACAAATACACGCAGGTGGACAGATTGCACACACAAATACAATAATAGAAACGCAGCCTCTTACCGAAGGGCCCGACCGAGTGAGGAGAAGATGGGGTAGGCGGGAATATCATCGGGCTTCTTGAAGGCCCAGTAATACGAGGCGAAGGCCCCCGACAGAGTGACCTGGCCCAGGGCCGTCACGAAGTTGGCGCACCAGAAGAAGAGAAAGACGTTGTAGAACTGGAACAGGATGAGGTATTTGTGATAGAGGGTCTCCCCACCGTAGAAGGCAAACAGGCACTCTGCATCAGGACACTGAGCTGAAATGTTGGACGTGTTGAATGTCTGGAGAAAGAGAGAGAGAGGCAGAACACAGGATTATTGGGGATTTTTCATGTAGTAAAATATGATGAAATGTGCGATGTTTCTTCCTTAAAGGTGTCAAATATAAGCAGCATGTTTGGTTCGGCGTTATGGCTAAACCCCACACACATCTTCAGTCAGTGACATTTGAAAGCGTACCTTGGGGTCGCAGGTCTCTCTCGAGTAGTCACACGCTGAGCTGTTGAACACTTTGTACACCTGCTCGTTAGAGGTGGACAAGAAACTGGTCCGAGCGGTCAAGGAGGTTTAGTCAACATAGAGAGGACGTCTCTGAAAAGCTCTCAATCAAGAGACATCTCTATCTATCTATGGAAACATGTCTCAAACAAGCAATAAAGTACAAACACATTGTCTAAAAGTAAATAGCAGACAAGGATATACAGTTTATTTAGAACTGGGGAAATGCAATTATTCATCTCATCTTTTCTATTCTTTTGGGCATTTTTACTCTCATTTGATGAAATATTTCTTTCTACACGTTTCTTCTTTCTTTTCTTTTAATGAAAAATATAGCAAATATTAATACAAATTAAAAAAACAAAACTGTGTAGAGTTGAAAATCTATGTGCAAATCTTTGTGCAGTAAAAAGTGAAAAAGATTGTGACACATTCATGTTTTGTTCATGTTTGATGGGAAGGATACACGGCAGTGATGGCCCAGTAAGCGATCACCACGGCCAGGAGGGCAAAGGTCAGCAGGGGGTAAAACAGCGATGACATCACGTGACCGACAGCTCTGAAACAAGACGAGAAAAGAAAGCAACAATCGAAACGCTGTGTGAACAAATAAAAGTTATAATTCTCTGGAAACAAGGGTGATGAAGGCTGTGAGGATGAACCGTGACGGTGACAGTGAGCTGGAAGAAGAAGGTAAATGTGCTGACGGGACCTGAAGAGTTGGGTGATAACCCCTTTCACATTATACTAAGGGTTCCATCGAGAACCCTTTTCTTCCAAAGAAATCTTTTTGGAAGAAAGACTTCTTAAAGGATCTTTGAAAGCGCAGGTGTTAAAAGGCAACAGCCCCCCAAATATGGTGATTTTGAACCCTGATTGTTGAACCCTGCACCACATCAGCCCCGGCCTTCTGGGGTTCTAGATGAAACTCTTTGAATATAAAAGGGTTCTCGGTAAATACCCCTGGGCGGGTTCTTGTTAGCACCCTTATAAGGTGGACAGTTCTGGGTAAATCCTCCGGAGAGGGTTCTGTGTGGAAATATGACACCATTGAAGGCTTGTCTCTCGAACCTCTCATATGTACCTTTATTTCTAAGAGTGATCGTCATTATTTAAATGTGAATTAGTGCAGCTTTAAAATATGTGAGCAGCTCTGGTCACTCGTCTTCCTCAGCTGACGAAGCAGAATAAAAAAGACGACCAGCTCAGACTCACTTGCTGGCCTCTCTGATGAGGGCGATGGCAATCATGATTCTCTTCCTGAGGAAGATGAGCAGCAGGATGATGATGACCTCCACAATAGCCAGGATGATCACTGCAGAACAGAACAGAACGCATTAGATCATCGTTACCAGAGCAGGATTTATAAACACTTCATACACAGGTGTGTTAAAGACTGAACATGTGCATACTGAAGGCCAGCCAGGTCTGTCTGATCTGCAGGTAGACGGAGAAGTCCGTCTGCAGGCCCAGGTCACGGATGGTCACGTCAGAGCCCGGCTCGCCATTCAGACTCGCAAACTCCATGTAGCAGTGGAAGATCCCTAATAGAGTAGAATATTTTAAGTTTTTAATTTTAATAAAGGTGGCTAATCTCTATAAGATTAGGATTTACCATATCCGATGACTATGATGACCAAAACGATCATGACCCAGACCATGATGCCAGCCAGGAACCGCAGCAGGACGATGAAGATCAAGCTCACGACCATGGCGATCACCAGACCGCTGGAGGAGACGGACACATCAGACGTTGTGACATATTGAGAGACAAGTTCTGCCTGTGATCTCGACAGTTGCGGTCATGCATGTTTTAAAATGATCAATTAGCTAAAGTCAGTGTTGAACACTTTAAGAGCCATGATAACTGTGTGCGTCTTGACAGCTACAGTAGATCAGCAGTTAATAAGTAAACAAGGACATTTTCTAAAATCATGAACTAATATCTTGCGTTGGACTCCTGATGTTCTGTTACTGTCACCGCTACGAAGTGGACGGACTTACAGTAAAATCCAGTGCCAGGACTGAGTGTAGTCCTCAAAGATCCTCATGGCCACCTGGCGAGCTTCAACAACCACATTTGATTTCCTGTAAAAATGGAAATTAATTAAAACAAACACCATTGCCCAAAATTAACATTGTAGACATCTGCCAAGTATGGAGCCCTGGACCAGACTACAAAAAATAAGCCTATAACAGAACACATCAATAAATAAATAATACTGTTGTGATATATTTACTTCCAATCAGTTTGTAAAAAAGCAAAAAGCTTTGTAACCTCAGTGGAACAGTTGAGAAATGATTATCACATCATCTATATGTAGCATACTGAAGTAGCATCACTGTACAACAGTAGCTAACGAGGGGCTAACGCTATCAAAGTTAGCTCTTTGTCTGACACCTTTTACTGCATGTTTCAGTTTCGGGGCTTCAAAGCCTGAAATAATTAATGTTTCATACAGTTGTAACTTCAGAATATAATTCATTTTCAAGTGACTCTCCACAAAGAAATAATGTTATTATTACGTTAATAATTCATCAGGCTCGTCATGTCACATTGCAAATTAAGATGACAATTGAATTAATAATTTCACACCAGCTGCTGTTTACAGCAAGAATACAACATAACAGCTTGTAATAGTCATCATCTTGATAAATAACATCCAGGGAGCATTGCAACCGCCCCTAGAGGTAATGATGCAGATAGAAAACACGAACATAAAGACCCTCCAGGGAGCAGACAAGTAGAGCAGAAGCAAAGCAGGCGTACAATGTACCAGACACACATGAGCGATCAGAAGGAGCTTTAGGGGGCGACCGTGGCTCACTGGGTTAAGAGGGTTGTCTGGTAACCGCAGGGTCAACGGTTTGATCCTCGACTGGGACGTGTCGTAGTGTCCCTGAGCAAAACACTGAACCCCAGGCTCCCCGGGCGCCTGTCATTGGCAGCCCACAGCTCCCTATATACAGGGATGGGTCAAATGCAGAAGGCAAATTTCGTGTATGTGTATATGACAATAAAAATGGTTTCTTTGGTTTCTTCTCTTAAGTAGCCCATCAATGCTAGCTGCTAGCATTAATATTTGTTCTGATTATTTAATGGATCTATTTGCTCAAGGTGATTTAGTCAACCCCAACGTATTCTAAACGTATCCTCTGTGTTCAGTTGCCATACAGTGGAAAGGACTCACTTGGATGCCTCCAGCACATCTGTGGCGTTGACGTTGAAGCCCTGTCCATCATCGAAAGTGGTCTCGTTGCCCACCACCACCACCCCACCTTTCATCCTTCCCAAGGCAGGAAGGCAGCGACGCGTGACTGTGGAGGGAAGAGAGATGATCCGTTTGTATATTACTGTTCTATTTATTACAGCAGTCCTACAGACACAGGAGCTGCTGGGGGTGAAGAACAAGCTTCTCACTTACAGGATTTACTGGGCATCAGCATGGCAGGACACAAGCCGTCCTTCAGGATCTCAGGAGGACTCTGAATCAGGTGAAACACCCTTCAATATAATACAGTTTTTGTTATACTGCAATGCACAGTCATCTATTTAAGCACGCATAAATACTTACCAGTTTGGTGAAGTTCACTCCATCCTTACAGTATTGTTGGAAGTATTCATGGTCCTCTTTGCTGCCTAACTTGGCTTTCACCAACGTCAGATGCCTGTTGGGGCAGCTTTCCACACATAACTGGACACAAATAACAACATACAAACACTTAGCGTGGGACGAGAAAAATGCTGCAATGAACATAAAATATGAGCAGATATGGTTTCTGACCTGTGTGGTGGGACACTGGAGCTCCAGCAGCACCAGAGGGCTGGCACACTTCAGGATGTTGAAGTAGAACAGAAGAGGCTTCTTCCTGTTGCGTGAGAAAAGGAAAACAAGACGATTGTTTGGCATGTATCACAAATTAACGTCTCAAATGACGGGGTATCAGAGTACAGTGATACAGTGACACTGTACACTTCATATTGTCAGGTGACTCACTCCAGAGGTGTTCCAGCTTGACCGCAGAACTGCCCCCTGCTGTCCGTGGGGTAGATCACTTTCCTGGGGTCACCCTGAGACCAGGCTGCATGGACAACAATTCAAATATTTCGGAAACAAAAGACGAGATCATTAGATCAAATGACAATACATTAAAAGTGGAAAAGTTGCTCATACTGCTCTTGAGTATCGTCAGATCTTCCTAATTATACTAAATCAAATGAATTTAATGTTTTCTGGCACATTTGCAATTTCAGACGTGTGAATTATCTCTTTGCTCATAAAACTCCAGTTAATACATGGAAACAGGTTGCATTCTGGGAAAACAGATGGAAAACACAATACCTCTTAAATATGTGATTTGCATGTTTAGTATTGATGGTGATGGCAAGATAACCAAACAATGTTGGTGAAGGAGAGTTTTAACTGTGTTTTAATTTTGAGGGTCTTAAACAGATAATTTACGCTGTCCAAGTAATGAAAACAGTACATAATGAAGTAATGTAGGATCAATCTTACCGACAATACCGACAGCAAAGTACCCCAACAAGGCCAAGATGAAGAGAATACAGCAGAGTATATCTGTGCAGCCCCTGAGCAGAGGAGAGGAGAGGAGAGGAGAGGTAAGGAAAGGAAAGGAGAGGCAGAGTATTGTTATTTGTTTCTTGTTCTGCAGAAAGAAAATTAAGTATAATCATGATCGCTGATGACAACAGACGTCTCACCTGTTGTGAAGCGGCCCTTTGAAGTTTGGGTCAAACTTCCTGAACTCCCCTGTTGATGGAAACAGACGACGGGCTTGTTAACGTCTCAGACTATGAATTGAATTTTAAACTTTAACTTCAGTCTGATGAGACTAGAACACATTAAGGAGAGTTAACCAAAAACCAGCAGTAAACCACTTAAATTGTAAACTCTCAATGAAGACCTGAATGAAAACTCCTTCACCACAAACTGCTGGTTAAAGAAAGGTCGAGTCCCCATCACACTGAACAGTTACTTAACACAACAATACTGACATTTAAATGAATATCACAGTATAAATAGTAATATATCTCCAACATCGTAACATATTTAAATAGAGATTAAAAACAACAACATGCAGATGAAACTCTTCAAATGTGTTTCTGATCAACATTTGCTTGAAATCACTAATTTGGACAACTTGTAAAATGATAAAACTGCAAGATTACAGCATCATGATATGACTCCACTGAATAAAATGTAAGAGAGACTCTCTACTGTATGCTGCAAAGAAAAACTGCCGAGTTGTGCTCACAAACAGCTCTCTCGGTACGGGAGATACATGTGGTCCACATATTGACAAAGTGAGGACACTCTCCAGAACAAAAGGATCCTTCTGCCTCACTGCCATGCCTAGCAACCCACAAAATGGCTCCCCGGCAACGGTGAGCTCCCCGTGGACATCGCCAGCCGCCATGGAAACACCTCCGACACGGCAGAGAAGCATCGACCCGCTCTGCTCACAGCGAGCCCATCGCTACACTCTGTGTTACACCTTGCAACGTGTTTCACACAGCAAAGTATTCAGTAAACAATCTCGTGGACACACACATATACACACAGGGTACACACAGGGTACACACACATATACACACAGGGTACACACACATATACACATACACACAGGGTACACACACATATACACACAAGGTACATACACATATACACACATATACACACATATACACGCAGGGTACACACAGGGTACATACACACATACACACAGGGTACACACACATATACACACACAAGGTACATACACATATACACACATATACACACAGGGTACACACAGGGTACACACACATATACACGCAGGGTACACACAGGGTACACACAGGGTACACACATATACACGCAGGGTACACACACACATATACACACAGGGTACACACACATATACACATACACACAGGGTACACACACATATACACACAAGGTACATACACATATACACACATATACAC